TTCCCCCTCGCCGAACAACGTGTGCATGCTGCCGAGGTAAATCTGCCCCTCGCCCTCATCGGGTGCAACCTTGCATTGGCGAGTCCCAACGGTTCTCCCCCCCCCCCCCCCGCCTGGACCTCGTGCGAGTGCTGAACCCCTGGAGCAAGGGGTAACCCAGAGGTGGGGTGGTGGGGTGGTGGGGTGACATGCCAGGGAAGCAAGGTGCTCGCAAGCCACAGAAGTGAAGTGAGGGCGAGGGCAGCGCCGAAGGAAAAGTCCCGTCGTTAGATGGTAATTCAGCCATCCCGCACTGGTCTATAGTCCTGTGTCTTGCTGCTCAAGAACATTGAGGGAGCCCCGGTGAGCTTGTTGCAAAGGGGACATGCTTCTCGCAACGGAGAGACAGGCAAACAAGAGTCAGGGGGGCAGCCAAGGAGCTTGGGCTTCCGATTGACGAATGATGGGTGGTGTCAAACAACACCCTGGACCACACCTCGGTTTGCGCACTGACGCTGATGAAATCCGTCGCAGAGGGGAGTGGGAAACATGAAAAATCTCAGCCCCGTAATCGTGCCGCCGCAAGCGAAAGGTCCGGTACATTGTGGCATTGCTCGCATTAAGGTGGCCCTCTCTCGGGTCTTCCCTCCTCCCAGTGATCTTAGTTTCCCGCGTTGGTGTGGATAATAGCTCCCGGCTGTTATAGGGTCGGAGAGCCAGCTGACAGCTTTCTGGTGGGGATGCCGATCCTCGACCAGCCGTTTTAATGGCGTGCTGGTACGAACGACTTCCAAAGACGACCCGAGTCGACCCTCATCTCAAAGCTCAGATTGCTTGATATTCGCAGCCAGAGGTGTCAGCGTGCCCGTAAGCACCTTAAAGTCTCGAGGGAAAACCTGGCAGTCGATGAGACGAAACAGCTGGAAACCCGACACGTTAAAACGCTCCGGCGCGCAGCATCTGGAGGAGACCCCACCCGGACCCAAAGCTGAGATTGATCGGGCGAGTGCTCTTGGTCTACTTTCTTCTTGCCCGGTCGAGATTTGGAATGCTAGAAACTCGAATTAGATCTCCCAAGCCGAGCACTCAGCTCCGATATTGGCAGCCAAGGTTTGACGCGGGGTCCAAGCACAGGCGAACTCCGGCGCGATGCATTCATGCAGCCGCGCCGCAACTTCTCAGGAAGCAAGATCCGAATCTGGGATGCCCTTGATGAAACCATTGGCCAGCGTTGGTGCCTCGAGAGCTCGGTTGCCCTTGCCAGGGAGGACATGTACATATGTACATACATACGAAACGAGCCCCCGGCACCACAACTGGACTGGAGCGCTTCCGGTCGTCGCGGCGAGCGATCAACTCAGGCTAATCAATCCCACGATTGCGTGCATCGTGTTCGCGTCAGTCGTAAGGTTCTCCCGTCCCGGAAGCCTAATCGCGCACGGGCTCTTGTTCAGGGCTCTCTCCGGGACGTGCGCAGGCGCCTCGAGATGGATGAAGTCCAGCAAACGGCAAGAAAACGATAACGGTCGGTTTGGTCGTGCTGTGTGGCTAATTCGGATCAAGGGCTGGTTCCAAACTTCGGGATGGATGTCTTTGGGCCTCTCGTGAAAAGCAACGACCTTCGGGCTGTGAACATGTCACAGGACGTTCGCCATTCGCGGACATGCCCAGTATGGGGCCTCGGAGTTCCCAAAATGGCGATGCGATCGGAAGGTCAAGGCGAAAAAGAGGATTCCCACGCGGCGAATCCTCTTTAAGGGCTTCCCGATGTCGAAACATGGGTGGGGTCCCTATTCATACCGGGCTTCAGCTCAACTTGCGGAGAATGGCCCGGTGTTCAGGACTTTTTTTTGTCAGCATGATGGTCAACCTAACCGCACCCTCGCCCGCACGCCGCCCCTCGTCGAAATCCTAGATGGGGGCGATGGATTCCGTCCAAGGTTTTGCGCACAGAGGATTGGGAATGCCGGCGCTGCCTGTCAATACCGAGCAGGCTATTGAACCACGATATTGGTCGAAAGGGCGTCGATATACTTGGTATGTCTTTCCCCCGAGTACTCAACTTCGCAAATGTGCTATTTTGAGCCATTCGTCACCATCCCCCTCATTTTTGCGGATGACAGAGCGGTGATCGAGCATGAGCTGTCAGATGACCCCCACGGTCCGGGGTCGGTCGGGGAGGGCCAGGAAGGGACTCAGAAATGAGTAGTTAATGGATGCGCCGACATGATGATTTGGTTGGGAGTCGAGCGGGCGTCCAGATAGGTGCCGCCATGCCGATCCGCCTCCTGCACGATGCAGCCCTGACGTGCTGCAGAACAGAGCCGCGATGCACCAGCCCGTGCGTGTTCGTCATGTCCGCGGCCGAGTGCAACATTCGCTCGCATCTGCTTGAAACCTGAAGACTCGCCATTGGACGTTGGCTGCCGTGCCGGGCTTGGGTCGTCACGGTGCCCCGGTCCATGGCCCGCAGCCCCCGGTCCCGTATGCCGGCGTGGGCTTGACAGGCTCGAGACAGGCAATGAATGGCAGCGCGAGTTGGATGACTTTCCGGGGCCGGGATCCCTAACGCCGGTCCTGGAAAAGCAAGGGCCGGTCATAAGTCAAGATACAATGTCGCAGCGCATACAAGTACCTACGGTACCTGGCGGATGGACCATCAAGCCGGTTGAAGTCCCCAACATGCGACGTTGATCGTCGCGGTTGCGTGCTTGCTGCGCGACTTGTGTGGAGTGGTTGCACCCCCGCAACGGGAGGGCGCTGGGCGTTAGGGATGATGAAGCTGCAAATGGAAGAGACACTTAGCGCTGCTCTCTCTAACGGCTGATTCGACCCCATTGGGGTC